TAAATAATTAATTTATCTATGTAATAAACTTTTTAAAAGAGGTTTCTATCAAGAAGTTTTCTCCACTGCTGATTAATTATACTTGAGGTCAACCCTATAAAATATTTAAACGTCCCACAAAATTTTCTGGCTTAATTAGTACTAACTGACTTTATAATCAAGATTTATGATAGTTATCCTTCTCTTTCCAATCATTGCATGTTTTATGTGAATTTTAATTTTATTTTTTGACATTTTATGTAAATATATAATAATAATAATAATAATTAAATTCACAATATATTTATATATTTAATAAAAATTTCAAAAAATATAGTGCAGATTCAGGAATTGGACATTATGATTTTAGAATTAGCTTGACTAAACACGAAATTAAAGAAAAGTAATAAATATAAAAAGGATAATTTCTAAACAGATTAAAAAAAAGAGAAGTACGTAAATTAAAATAAGTGGAGTTTATATAATTATAAAAAAAAAAGATTTTACATGACTGATGAAATTGTTATAATTAGGCCATATGATCAAAGCTTTGAGAACACACTTAATGGAAATCTTTAATCAAGATCCGATAATAAGATCCAATGATAACCAACCATTATACTATACTATATCCCTACATATATTAATTTTTAAAAAAATGACAACTTTTCTAATTAGTAAATATAGAAACATGATTAGGGACATATATAATTAATGTGGCTTTTGATTCAAGTTGTATGATGTCCAAGTTAAACTTATTTTAACTATGAAGAAATTGTTTTTAGGTCCCGTGTTTGCTATATAAGGTTGATATAAGAACAATTTAATAAAAATCAAACTTTCTTTTTTAAATAATTAATTTAAGAGTAGCTTAACTCATTTATAATAAAAACATATTCAAACTAAAAGCCTTTTATCGACTGGAATTCTATTTCGTCATACATAAATTTTTATTCTATGTTTGATATCTATATTAAAGCTCAACTAATTCAAATTTTAAATCAAAAACTTTTAAATAAGAATGAAGATATCTCAATTATCCATCATAATTCATATTGGTTCCGTTTTATATGATTAACCTCAAGTACTAAAAATATATTTTAATTTTGACTACATTCACAAACGTTGTAACTTGTAACATCATTTTTATAAAAATAATTGAATAAACTTAAAAAGGTAAGATATTGCATTTAACTAAGCATATACACATTTGTTGTATATCTATCGACTAATTTTTACAAGTGGATCACACTTAACTTATAACATTATTCTTTTAGAAATTTAAATATGAAATCACTTTTGATAAGGAATATTTTATTTCAAAATAAAAAATTTCAACACAAGTTCAATTTAGTCAAATCTCAAAGTAAATACTGAATAACATATGGAAAACCAGCAACAATGTCTAGGTCGATATACTTGTAATTTTAATGTTCGTGATAATAGATGCACATCTCGACTAATTTTATGGAAGGTGTATCATTACTTCCCATCTCCTACCAGCACTAAAGTTGAGATATTGAGGAAGTGTTGAAATAAATGAGGTTAGGTGTCTATTTCCAATATCACTGCCAGACAGCAGTTTCTTTAACAAGTTTGAAGTTAATGCAACAGTTCAAACTAGCCATCAGTTTTAATTTGCTAGGGATTTTATTTTTACAAAAAAATAGATATATTAATTCTTATTATATCAATTTCATGTCTTAGTGTCTTTGAGTGCATTTTGTACTACCAACCACATTCCTATAAACCCTACCTGTACAAAATTGATGATGATAATTAAACTAGGCTCGTTTAGTAAGATGTGTAAAAATAGTACTGAATATAGTATGTTAAAAATATTAAAATTATAAGTTATATATAATGAGATTAGTTATGTTGTTTATCGAATGTTTTGTTTGTTATATTAAATAAATATGATGTATTAGACAAGAATAGCTAATACCTCGTATTGTTAATATCGTGACTTCTTACGTATAAGAGTAGTACATAATATGATACATGTGCTATTAAGCTTGATGAGGATACGATTTAAAAATAATAATTTGTGAGATATGTTTAACTATAATGAATAATGCGTATCATGAATTTGGATCACAACATTACTTCTATCATTCAAAGGTGGCAAACTTTTTTAGTTACAAGTTCATCTTTGGATGTAATTTCAATTTTTATTCCCAAAAAATTGTATCTTTAATTCAAATTCTCCAAATAAAAGAAGAAAAATATATTATTTTTTTATTAATAATATATTGATGGATGATTTAACATCACAACTGTATATGGTCAAAGAGAAGTCCATTATTTATGTGACATAAAAGTAGCATGTGCCTAGAAAGCTCCCTTCTCTCTGCCTTTTGTATTAATAGATTTCTTTTGTGTGGTTGTAAATTTGGCAATTAAAAAAATACTAAGAATAAATAAACATACGTAGTTTCATTTATATTACAATCATGATTGTTAGGTAGATACATTATAATGAAATTGAAAAATGATGTTATCTTTTATTAGAGATATTGAATTTAAAGTTTGAGTATAAATTACTTGTGTTAGGAAGCGTTTGCAAAAAATGATTTTAACAATTTTTTCCTTCTTCTTCCTCCTCCCTCTGATAATAACGAAGAATTTATTAACGTGAAAATATATATTAATTAATTATAATTAAATAATAATCATATAAATTTTAATAGATGTCATGTCATATATTCATTGCGTCGAAGTAAATATTAGAAAATTTTACCCTAAAATAGTACTACTAATTTTTATTTTTTAAAAAAGAAACTTAATTAGTTAAGTCTAAGTATAATAATTCAAAAACTAAAACTAAAATTGTCCTATCACTTGCAACAAAATGCATTTATGTGTCACTAATCATAAAGCATTCCAATAATCAAGGAACTACATCTCCTTTTTAGCTTAGTACAAATATTTGACTTTGCTTAATTAGAACATCGACCACTATTATAAGCAAAAAAAAAATATCAAAAATTTAGATGGGATGCTAAATATTTTTTCAATTTTAATTTAAAATAATGAATTCAAGTCTCGAGAAATAAGATAATTTTTAGTAAAGGGTGTTATACTTTTGAGCTGATTAAGTGATTATTTATCGTTAATAATAGACACGTGTATATTAATTTAATTACTCCTATTATTCTGAATCATCTCTCTCTATCGACTATCGTACACTACTAGCTTCCAAACATCTTCATAGAACTGCAGTAATAGGAGTTTCCCCTCATACTTTAAATATATAAGTAGTTAATAATTTTATCATAATTTAAATATGTTATTATGCCTTATCCCCTACCCCCTCCCCCCACACACAAAAAAAATAAAAAATTACACGAATTCATAGTATTAAGAGCTAGTGACATTCTATCTCTATTTTTTTTAAAAAAAATTACAAAGATCCTTTAAATTTGGTGGAATTCGGACATATCCCTCAACGTTCCGATATATCATGTCTCAATTTCAGATACATCGGGTATGTCCTGATACATCATGTAAAGTGATGTATACAATCAAAACATCGCGTAAAGTGATGTATTCGAGAATTTTACGTGGTATATTTGAGAATAGGAGAGAGAGCGAGGATTTTTGTAATTTTTTCAAATGTAGGGAATTTTAAAGAATATGATGATATAGGTTATGTATTTAAGTAAAAAAAATTAAAAGATGAAAGAAAAAAAGAGACGTTGAGTGATCATCAAATAACCCATCCCTCTCCCTTGTTCCTATGTAATTTTTACTTAAAAACAATAATGACGTTTTATTTTGGTTTAATATGGAAATTTATTATTTTGCATGCCAATTTTTTTAAAAAAAATATAAACGTTAGTGACCGTTGAATCAACAGTTAATTACCTACTAAACTTGTGTTTAATGAGTTTATACAAAATTAAATTTGGACAATTCACACGATATGTGTTTTTTTCATACAACTGGGGGACCATAACTGCCGTAGGTATTGCCGGCGTGCACTAAATATTTGAACCGTTCAATTGTTGTTTGGAAAATTTTAATAAATAATATTTGTCATGTTTTTTCCTATTTTGAAAATAAATAAATTACACTTTTAATCCCTTGAACTATTAATAAATTACAATTTTGGTCTTAATTTCTCATTAAACATATTTAAACTCTCAATTTTATGAATTTTGGTCTTATTTTTATTTTATTTTTTTGTAAATCTTCACAAATTTAACGAATTATTAAGTCCTAACCTAGAGTGGAGGGTTTTGAATTGTTTTTCTTCTCAGCTGAGAGCGTGCAGAAAACAACCTAATTCATGATAGAGGTAAAGTATGTGTACACTTTACTATTATATATTTCGATTTGTGGGATTACATTGAAATGTTATTATTGTTAGTAAACCAATGTCGTGGGTGTATTGAAAAAACAACCACTTTACCTCACACTGACAAGGATAAGGTTGGGATGATTGTACCTTTTTCAGACTCAACATATAAAACTACATTGGGTATATTATTGTTGTTGTATTAAGTTCTAAACTATTCAATAATCGATATGTAATTTGTAATATTACTAGTGATAGGATCATGATTTTCACTAAGAAGATTCAAAATATGAAGAAAGAAACACACAAATAAATTAATGTAATTCAATATCTATTACGTATACATAAGAAAATAATTTTATTTTTATATACACATCATATTTGTCCTTTATCTAGCAAATGAGGTTCAGATGAACCCCTTAACGCTCCCTAACTTTTCCCCAGACTATTGCTCCATACTTGCTAGTTATATATAGTTTTATTTAAAAGGTCTAGAATTACACATTTTAATTTACAAAAAGTTAAATACACTTAATAAACTATTATACTAATTACATATAAATACCAATTAAAATTTATAATTGAGGGATCAAAAGTGTAATAATATATTTTAAATATTAGAACATAGAAAGTTTAAAAAAAAAAAAAAACAACTCAAACCAGAAGGCAAAGTAGAGCTTCTATAAAAAGAGAACCATTCCTCTCTTTCTCTCTCCATCTTCTCTCTTCTAAAACATTTTTCAATAGCCATTAATACATAACTCTCAAACAAAAAAACAAACAAATTTTTGCTTTGTTTTTTGTGCCCATTTATCTTCTTCAAACACAAAATTGAACAACCCCATTTCGTTCTTTCTGATTTTTTTTGTTGCAAAATTCAATTTTTTTGGTTTTTTTCCCTACATTTTCTGAGAAAAAAAAAGAATCTTTTTATTGTTGAAGCATAAATTTAGTGGTGAGTTTGAGCTATTTGTCTGTCTTTTCTGACATTCCAATAGCATTAAAAAAATCTCACCTTTTTTCTGCAAATTTTTAGAAGAAAAAAAAACACATTTTCAAGAATCCCCTGTTTCCACCACCCCACCATTTTCTGAAGAAAAAAAAGAATCTTTTTTGCTTTAGAGCAGAATTTAGTGGTGGGTTTGAGCTATTTTCTGTATTTTTGACATTTTCAAGAATCCCCTGTTTTTTTTTTTTAATAATGGAGGGGTTATCAAGAACAAATCTTGTTTCTGATACATTTTATGGAACAAGAGATGATATAACAGAACAATTTGGTATAATGTGGGGACAAATCAAAGCTCCATTGATTGTTCCTCTTTTAAGGATTTCAGTGTTTTTATGTCTTGCTATGTCTGTAATGTTGTTTATTGAAAGAGTTTACATGTTTGTTGTCATTACTTTATTGAAAGTTTTTGGTACAAAACCTGAAAAAAGATACAAATGGGAGCCATTAAAAGATGATGTTGAGCTTGGCAATTCATCTTATCCTATGGTTCTTGTTCAAATTCCAATGTATAATGAAAAAGAGGTTTGCATTCTTCATTCTTTACATTTTTGTCTTTTTTTCTTGGTGGTGTTCGAGTCAGTTTGTGTGCACCTCAATAAGCTTCTGTTTGATAATAGATTTTGAAATTTAAAATTTTGAAGTTGTGTTTGGACATATATTTATATAGGGAAATAAAATTAAAGTTTGAGAGCTTGAAAATTAGATTATGAAAATCTAACCAAATTTTATGGTGAAAAAGATATTTGAGGATAAATTTTCAAAAATTATCCGAACGTTAGCCAAGTTTCGGTATGCACTCATCTTAATTATTTCATTAGGTATCTGCTATGGAAAGAAATCGTCTAGTTTATTTGTGAAGTATTTTAAGTATTCCATTGGATATCTTCTACCTCTCATCGATATATGTTTAGGGAAAGAAATTGTCTAAAACTTCTTTAATTTGATGCATTTTAACTATTTCATCGAATATGTGCTACCTCAATGTCTTATACAACATATGTGTCATGTAGCTTTGTCCATCAAAATTTAGTCTAACGAAAGAAATCACTTAGTATTTTTTTCTCGACGTTTGCTTATTAGAATTTTGTTTTAGGTAAAATTCTTAATTTTTTTGTTTGTTTACACAGGTTTATCAGCTTTCAATTGGAGCTGCATGTGGACTTTCATGGCCTTCTGATCGTATTATAGTACAAGTTCTTGATGATTCAACAGACCCCATTACTAAGGTATTGTAAAAAAAAAGTGTAAAAATTGATTTATTATTATTATTAAATTATTTCTCCTATTATTATTATTAATAATAATTTACACTATAGATAAACCCTTTTTCTGAAACTTGAAATTGGTTTAGGATTTATAAAGTTTGTAAAAATTGAACCTTTTCTCGATTGTCTCAAATCAAAAATTTATCAGAAATAATCTTTCTACCTCTAAGGTAGAGGTAATGTCGTCTTACCTTTCTCAGATCCTATTTGTGGAACTACCTGACTATGTTATTGTTGTAAAAATCGAACCTTTTCTTGATTTGGAAATAAACCCTCGAAACATTTCGGAATCTCGATTAAGCATAAATTGCAACTCTTATATTATTAAAGGTACTTTTCAAATTAATTAATCAAACACAAGTTGTTATTTTTCAAAAGTGCTTTTTGTAACACACTTTTCTCAAAGCAAACGGTCTTTAAAGTTTGACCAAACAGACTATAAAATTTTGTAAGTTTTTTATTATTTTTTTGAATTTGGATTTAAACCCTAAACCCCCTTTTGTGATTCTTGAAATTTGGTTGTAGAATTTGGTGGACATTGAATGCCAAAGATGGGCAAGCAAAGGGATAAATATAAAATATGAAGTGAGGGACAATAGGAGTGGATACAAAGCAGGTGCTTTGAAAGAAGGATTGAAGCATTCTTATGTGAAACAATGTGATTTTGTTGCTATTTTTGATGCTGATTTTCAACCTGAACCTGATTTTCTATGGCAAACAATTCCATTTCTAGTTCACAATCCTGAACTTTCCCTTGTTCAAGCTAGATGGAAATATGGTAAGTTTTACTTTTTTAACTTTCCTCATATAGTAGTTGTCAATTTATATGATTTACTTTTTTTTTAATCAGTCCAAAAAAGAATGACACATTTTCATATTAAGTAAGAATTTAACTATAAAATTTCTATTCTATCCTTAATGAAATGATTTACAGCTACACAAATTTCTATCATTCATTTTGGACCACAAGTTTTAAAAGACTTCCTTTCTTTCTTAAACTTCGTGCCAAATCAAATTACCTTACATAAAATGGGACGGAGGGAGTAATATTTTTGATAAAGATGGTGTCCGGACGGTCTTGCACGAATCCCGAGTAGTGCAAAGGGTTAGTTGGTTTAATTGTATTCTGAACTCATAAAGTTTAAATCTTGATTATGTCCTTGGTGGCGTGCTGAACCCATAAAGTTTAAAGTTTGATTCCGTCGTTAGAGGTAGTCCGAACCAATAAAGTTCAAATGCTTATTTAGCCTTTAATGAACCAATGACATTTTGAATCATTAAAGTTTTAATCTTGACTTCGCCTCTGGGTGAAGTTTAGGGTTTTAGGATAGGAAGATGGCTAAGTTCAAGTCAAAGACGCTAAATTAAGGGAATCCATTAGAATTTCATAGCGCACTAAGCGAGTATTTAGTTCGGGTTTTTTATACGAGAGATCTCATTCCAATAGTTTTTTTTTCTCGAAAGGCCACTCCTTTTTCTTTTTATCAGGATGCGATAATTTTGTCTACCAAAACTTAGTTTGCGGAAGAAGTCATCTAGCATTTTGTGATTTTCATTAGTTTATCCACCAAAATGCTAAATAAGGGCATTCACTAGAATTTCGTAGCGCATCGAGCGAGTAGGTAAGAGATCTCTTCTCGATACGGTAATTCTATTTACTAAAGCTTAATATAAGTCTTGAAAAAGTCTTCTATATATCATTTTATGATTCTCATCTTTTTAATTATATATAACCACTAGGCAATAACCTTTATTTTTTTTCACTTTCATAATATATTTATATTATTTCTCTACTAAATAATAACTCATCAACACTGTCGGTGACTTTTACATATTACCAATATTTTTGTGTGTGTACATAATAATGACCAGACTTAGGTACAATCTTTGTAGGCCAGTATTTTTTAGGTCACATGTAGTCATGTTGTGGTGGCTCATGAAATTTGGCCCTAGTTCTGAATTGGCAATTCAAGTGTGGTTGTAAAAGTTTGTGGTGGATCGGTAAATATTTTTTTTATTTTTAACTAGAAGTTTCAAATTCGAATTTGGGATATGAAATCATCTTTGATATAGAATCATTACCCCCTTTTAATTAAATCTCAAGGTTGATATCGAACACCATATGGAATTAAAAAGAAAGTACTCATTATTAGTAATAATTTTAATGTTTGATAAAAAAAAAAGAATTTCTATGTTATGCTAAAAGTTGTTTTGTCTGGTGCATGCTAAAAAGAGGAGTTGATTAAAGTGAAAAAAGTATTTGTGGTTTCGTAAGAAACACTTAATATTACAAAGTATTATTACTAGGACAATAAATGCCCCTATCACCTATCACCTATGTTGCTTTGCTTTTTCCAATATTTGATACGTATGTGTCAAACCTAACAACATTTTTAATGAATTCGAGCAACATAGCGCATTACCTATATTGGTTTTGACTCTGAAAATGTTGATACATTCATGTTCGATGTTCCGAAAATATTATATTGCTTTGATTCTCCAAAATTATTGATGAGTCTATTGTACGAATTTGCAAAAAGTAAATTATATTTGTAAATTCTGACACTCACCCGATGACATTTTAAGAGAATCTAAAACAACATTTACCTATTGCTTTTGCACTGTGAATGGAAGCTTTTTTTTTTGTACTTAAAGAAGCCAATTAGGAAGTGCTATTTCTACAAAGAAAAATCTTTTTACATTCTTAAAGGCAAGGTCATTTTTGGAATTACTGATAATGACAAGGGTATTTTTGTCCTTTTGTCTTATACCTCTTTAAGCAACAATTGCTTGTGCAATAAAAATGGTGGACCTAAGAACATTCTTTTTTACTAGCCGACACTATTTTTGGTGTCTTTGAGAATTTTTTTAATTTTTATTTTAATAGGTCAAATTAAATTGTTAAATTAAATAAATGAATATAACTCAAACATTTTTAAAAATGCCCGTTAGAAAAGTATTGGTTTATTCTTCGATTGTATTAGTTAGTACCTGTTATTTTCTTTGTTTCAATTTTCACATTAATTCTTGTGTTACCTTATGTTATACTCGAATCGAGGGTTAGAAACAACTTTTTTACCTGCACAAGATTGGAGGGTAAGATCTTTTTACACCACCCTTTCTAGCATGGGCGGAACCACCTTAAACGAAGGGTGGTCCAGTGCACACCTTTTGTTAAAAAATTATGTCGTGCACATAGGTTAAATGTTAGTTATTATGAGTGTATATTTTATTTTGCACATTCTTCACCAAATTTCTAGCTCTGCCATTGCTATCACTCGTGGAATTACACTAGATATATTATTGTTATTGTAATGAAATAATTTATTTATTTATTGGTTGGTGATTTTTGCAGTTAATGCTGATGAATGTCTAATGACAAGAATGCAAGAAATGTCATTGGATTATCATTTCTCTGTGGAGCAAGAAGTTGGCTCTTCTACACATGCTTTTTTCGGATTTAATGGTATTAATTCTCCGTATTATTTATAAATATTTGATTGTGAATCCAACTACTATTGTATTATTTATTAACTTAGGAAGTCGCTATAGGAACTTGTAGCTTAAAATTCTGAATCCGCTCTTTACTTGAAAGTGACAAGTCAGTAAGCAACATGTTAGTTTTGTGTAAATTGTCTTCAATGAAGTTTTAAATGAAACAACAACTAGTGGTCCAAGAAAAATATTGAACTCTACATGTTCTGTGAATTCGTTGTGGTCCAACAAATGTAAATATGAAATGTTGTGTCTGGAACAAAAAAATACAGGCACTGCTGGTGTTTGGAGAATCGCCGCGATAGATGAGGCTGGAGGTTGGAAGGACAGGACAACGGTTGAGGATATGGACCTCGCTGTCCGTGCTAGTCTCAAGGGATGGAAATTCTTGTTCCTTGGTTCAGTCAAGGTACATACTCCCCTGTCTGGCATTTCTTTTATCCGTTGTCTCGAAATGAAAGATAAACAAACACTATAATGTACTATCTGTAGTTCGTATTATCTGTCTTTTAAGGTTTTGGCATGCCCTTTAAGAAAGACATTCATTAGCCTTAATATGGTATGGACTGAAGTCGTCGTGGTGATCATTTATCATGTATACAAATCGAGAATATGACATTGAGTAAGTTATGTCATATGGCCGTTGTTAATAACATGTTGCTACCGTTGTTCAATCATATAGGTAAAAAACGAATTACCAAGTACATTGAAGGCCTATCGTTATCAACAACATCGTTGGTCCTGTGGCCCAGCCAATCTCTTCAGGAAAATGTGTATGGAGATCATAAGAAACAAGGTAATACTAAAATCGCCATTCCCATATTTCGATTTCCTAAAGACTGTTTATAGTACTCAATCTAAGTCCCCGTTGAACTTCTCTTTATCGGCTTTGTTTGCTTGCAGAAAGTGTCTTTGTGGAAAAAGGTTCATGTGATTTACAGCTTCTTCTTCGTTAGAAAGGTTGTAGCTCATATTGTTACTTTCGTATTCTATGTTGTGGTATTACCCGCCACTGTATTAGTACCTGAAGTTGAGGTTCCGAAGTGGGGAGCTGTTTACATTCCTGCCATCATTACACTACTCAATGCTGTTGGAACTCCAAGGTCAGTTCTCCCTATACTCGCATTGCATCACTCCTACTTCGTTTTCTTGATAACATTGTAGTCCTAACGGCTGAAAGTTAACATGATACATTAGGGGTCATTTGGTTCTGGGATGGGATGATTCAAAACTTAATCTTGAGATATCCCACCTTATCCACCACGTACCAAACGACCCCTTAGATTTTCAATCATCGAATATTATACATGATAAATATGCCTGAGTGACATTGTAGCGAGCAAACGATACCTTACTCCTTTAAAACTGATCATGCATTATTCATTTAACTAATTCGTCGTTCCTGAAATGAAAACAGGTCACTCCATCTGCTGGTATTTTGGATCCTTTTCGAGAATGTAATGTCACTGCACCGTACTAAGGCCACCTTCATCGGCTTGTTGGAGGCAGGACGAGTGAACGAATGGATTGTCACAGAGAAATTAGGGGACGCTCTGAAGTTGAAATCAGCTACCAAAGCGTTTAAAAAACATCGAATGAGGCTAGGTGACAGGTAACATTTCATCTTACAAATACGAGTTTCAGTTTTCGTGGACAATTTTACAAGACTAATAAAGTTTCCCTTATCGACAGGATTCATTTGTTAGAGTTTGCTGCTGGTGCATACCTCTTCTTCTGTGGATGTTATGACATTGCATTTGGTACTAACCACTATTTCCTCTACCTCTTCATTCAATCATTCGCCTTTCTCATCGTTGGATTTGGTTACGTTGGCACTTTCATACCCAACTCTTAGTCAACAAGCATGAAACTGATTTTATGGTATGAATCTTAAGCTTTTTCACCCAGTGCTCCCCCTCAGTAGCACCAAAAGAAGTGGCGTTGCGCGCCTTTCTTGTTTTGGGGTGTTTTTTTTTTTATCATTTGTAAAGAGATGTGAGTATATTCTTTTTAGGTAATTTCAAACATGAAAGTGATTCGAGCCCGGTTTGTTCTCTTTGTGTATATTCCCAGAAAGAGTTCTGTGCTTAAATGCAGCATCATATACATAGAAGAAGATATGCAACAAAGATTGAATTTTTTCCCTTTCCTTTTACTTAGATGTAATAAATTTGGTTTCAAATTTCACAATACAGAGCTAATGTTTACATTTCTCTACCATCTATCTTCATAAAACATCAGCGGAGCCAAAAAATTTATCAAGAAAATTTGAAAAAAGTACATGAACTTTACGCGTGGTTTGAACTTATGAGGTAAAATAACCACTGTTACTAGGGACGCAATGGGATTCATATGATTTTTGAGCCATTGCTACATCAGAAATAACCTTTCTAATTTTGCGACACTTTATTCTCACTTACGAGTTTACACTGAATATTATTAACTCATCAATATGTCAAGACAATAACAAATATGGGTTACAGTAATAGAATTAAAGAAGTTAAAAAGGGTTTGACATCTACTATATTATTATTAATCAAATATAAATAATGTAATTTTCCACTCAAGGAAGTTTGGATGAACCCTTAGTCCTGAATCGGCTCCTCTCCATTACACTTTCTTTCCATTCCGTCAAACACATGAAATTTATGCTTGAACAACTATGTCATTGTAATTCTTCTACTATCATACAGACATTAACTTAATGGGCCTAACATCATTTTTAGCTACTGTCTTATATGGGCTAAGCCCAACATCCATTTTCAAAAGGGAAAATTGTATATAAATAGCAAACTATTAATTCAAATTAAATGCTATAAATATACTTTAATTTAATTGTACCATATAGCAAACTATTGCTATTTTTGCCACTCTCACTGGTGGAATCTCGCTCGCCACTCTCGTTTGGTGGCAGTCTCGCTCGCCTCTCTCGCTTTTATACAAACACAAATGTATATAAATGTGTTTGTGTTTGTATAAAGCGAGAGGAAATTGTATATATACATATATTTTCGTTTTCCTCTCTCCCCTCTCCCAGATCTCGCTCGCCACTCTCCTAAATCTCGCTCGCCTCTCTCGCTTATACAAACAGAAACGAAATGTATAAATTGCGCTTCTGTTTGTATAAAGCGAGAGAAAATTGTATATACACATGCAAATACATATATATTCGTCTTATACACTTATAATTATATAATACAAATATTTCTCTACCCAATTTTCTTTTGCCTTTCTCTCTTTCTCGTTTTATACATACACAAATTATACAATTGATCTTTTGTATACAACTGTTTTATTTTGTATATGTATAGCGAATTATACAACTGCCTTCTTTGTATATGTATAGTGAATTATACAACTGTTTTTTTTTGTATATGTATACCGAATTATACATATATATGTTTGCTATGGAGCGCAATTATGCAAACTTTGTTATAGCCTACAAATATGAATTTTGTGTTTACTATATGTGAAAGTTGCTATTTTCAAAAGGTCTTTTCAAAATGTGGACAAAAGGGATTGGGCTTTTATTTAGTTTCAATTAGAGTTCGCAAATTATTTAAAATTTAATCACTCATTTTATTCTGTTTCGTGACCAAGCAAGCAGATGATGAAGGTTTAGCTAGGAGCCAACCTTAGGACGAGAGGACTAGGTCGATTCTTCTCCTCTTGAGAAAGTATACAAATATTGGAAGGCCGCTTATTTAGTTGCTTTAAAATTAACTTCATACTTATAAATTAAAGTGAAAAATTTTGTGTTTAAAGTTAGACGTTTTAACTTTTAACATCTGAATTCAAATAAAAAATTGTCTGGCACATTTTTTGTTAATTCGAAACAACACACCTTTTTCGTATTTAAAATATTTCTTTAAGTTTAAAGTTTTCACATTAATTTTAGTAAAGTAATTTGTACCATTACAAACGTGTATGTCTTATGAATATTGATCAATCTTATTATCATCCGTCATAAATCACAAAAGTTTTTATTTTTATATACATTTTATTTTATTTTAAACTGTGATGGATGAGTAATATACACAAAGTAAAGGAATAAATGCCATGTGTCAACTTCTTGAAAATATCTTTGCCACCTTTCCAAAATCTAACCCTTCATAGTTTCTCCTGGACCCAAAAGTGGCCAAAAAGCTACATAAAAGGCCAACTCGAAATTATATTTATAACTTATCTCAAAATTAGATTTATTTCAAGGATGAAATAATAATTTTAAAATAGGTAATGCTCAAATCATTAATTCTGAAATAATTTATTTCATAACTAAATAAGTCCTAAATTACCTAATGTAATTTAGATACGGTAATTAATTACATAACTAAAAATTGATCTAACAATCTTGAAGGACAATGTGTAACTTTAGGACTTATTTACATTTTGTCCTTCAAGATGGTTAGATCATTTTTTTCATAATACCTTTTGAGTCGAATCTGTCACACAAAATTTGCTTATGTTAATTTATATCTTTGATGTGGTTTCAAAAAAAAATATTTACCCCGAAGGATAGAATTTGTGAGAAATTATAGTTGCCGTGAATTTTATATGATTGTGATATACTGGTAGGAGTATTTCATCCTTAAGCATAGAGATCTCGAGTTCGAGTCCTGGGTATCGAAAATATCGTGTTGGAAGCGTCATCCTCAAATGATCCCTGAAGTGCGCAATTCAAATTTAGTCGAAGCTTCAATGTGTTCCGAACACCGAGTGGAAAAAACAAAAAAAGATAAATCACAGACAGCACAAATAATCTCAAAAAACACACACACAGTGATACACTCACAGAGATCAACAATGGCTGCCACCACTGCTTCTGCTTCCTTCATCCTCTCAAAACTCCTCCTAAAACCCTCAACCCCAAAACCCCTTTCTCTTCTTTCCCCCATAAAAACCAATCTTTTCTCCTCTTCTTCCCAATTTTCATCTCTCCCTCTAAAACTCAAACAACCCATTCACCATTTACCATCTCTGAAATACTCCACCTCCGCCACTTCAAGAATCTCCGCCACCATATCTGTCGGAGACAGACTCCCCAATTCCACCTTTTCTTACTTCGATTCCTCCGATGAACTCAAGACCCTTTCAGTTTCAGACCTCACAGCTGGAAAAAAAACCATTCTTTTTGCTGTTCCTGGTGCTTTTACACCTACTTGTTCACAAAAACACCTTCCAGGTTTTGTGGAGAAGTCTAAGAAGCTTAAGGCTAAAGGGGTTGACACAATTGCTTGTATTTCTGTTAATGATGCATTTGTGATGAAATCTTGGAAGGAAAATTTGGGAATTGGGGATGAGGTGATGATGTTGAGTGATGGGAATTTGGAGTTTACTAAGGCTATTGGGTGTGAGCTTGATCTTAGTGATAAGCCTGTTGGACTTGGTGTTAGGTCTAGAAGGTACTCTATGCTTGTGGAAGATGGGGTTGTTAAAATCTTGAATTTGGAGGAAGGTGGAGCTTTCAATGTTAGTAGTGCTGAGGATATTCTCAAGGCCATTTAGAGGTTTTTTCTTTCTTTTTGTTGATTATGATGATGAGGCTACTAAATCTTGCTTTTTTTGTTTTACTAGCTTTCTTGTGAACATTGAATAATACTCTTGTTTTTGGAGATTATGAAGTTTAGTTTCTAATTATGGTCTAAAATGTATGCTCTTTTATGTGTTTGGATGTTTTACTGTGATGAATTATTGGATTGTCTTTTTATGAAGGCATAATACGTAAACATACACTTTAATTTGGCCTCCAACTTTGAGTATGCACATCTAGATATCTCAACTCGTCTTTATTGTTTCAGTTGAACACTCCAACTTACCAAATGATCATCTTGACACCTCCAAAAATTATGTGTCATGTTAGCATCAGGTGTCCACAAGAAACAATGCGACGAGTTGGAGTGTTTAGTTGTCAGTTGAGACCAAGTTGAGGTGTCTAGATGTGCACTCTTAAAGTTGGAATGTTTACTTACCTGGTAGGCCAAATTTGAGTGTTTGTTTATGTATTATGTCTTACAATATGAACGTTTGTTCTGATTCCTGACAATGCCACCCAACTTGAGATTCAGGAATGCTTTCCTAAATTAACTTGGAAGTAAAAGATTAAAACTTTGGCAGAGTACATTGTGAAGAGATTTTGGGCAATGTAAGTAGTTCTAATAGTTTCTTACCTTACTTCTGGTAAAAAAAGACTCTTCTTTTTGTTGTTCTTGGTGCTTTTACACACACTTGTTCTCAAAAGCATCTTCCTGGTTTCGTGGAGAAATCTAAGGAGCTTTACGGCTAAAGGGGTTGTCACAATTGCTTGTATTTCGGTAAATGATGCATTTGTGATGAAATCTTGGAAGGAGAATTTGGGAATCAGTGATGAGGTGATGATGTTGAGTGATGGGAATATGGAGTTTACTAAGGTTATTGGGTGTGAGCTTGATCTTAGTGATGAGCCTGTTGGACTTGGTGTTAGAAGGTATTATATGCTTGTAAAAGATGGGGTTGTTAAAATCTTGAATTTGGAGGAAGGTGGAGCTTTCAATGTTAGCAGTGCTCTGAGGATATTCTCAAGGCACTTTAGAGGTTTTTTTTTCTCTTTTTGTTACGTATGATGATGAGGCTACTAATTCTTACTTTTTATGTTTTACTAATCTTCTTGTGAACAATGAATAATACTCTTGTTTTTGGAGATTATGAAGTTTAGTTTCTAATTCTGGTGTAGAATGTTTGCTCTTTTATGTGTTTGGATGTTTTACTGTGTTAATTTATGAAGACATAACACATGAACACACACTTAAATTTGGCATCGACTGACTATTAAGCACTCCAACTTTAACTCTTTGAGTATGCACGTCAGGGGCGGCTCAACGTGATTGGGGGCCTAAAGCGAAATTTCAATTCGAGCCTAAAGTATAATCAAGCCTCATATACATATTTATTCAAAATTTATTTTTCTTACACTATTTAGATGAAAAATATTAGTATTTTAATATTTTTTTTTAGTTATTAGTTTTAGGTAAGATTTTATCAACTCAACATTGAAAAACATCCTTTTAGTGAGACAATTATTATATGAATTGTTAACATAATTATACAAGTAATAAGTTGATAAATATTAAATAGAGATAAGATTTAGAACCATAGAATTTGACGCAAGAAGTTGATGACTTGGTATACCCCATTTTAATATGATTGTAGTAATGCTTGAAACTAAAATTTAAAACAAAATAAAAAAGAATTTGTAATTCACTCTGTTCAACTTTTTTCACTATTAATTCTTATTTTTAACAAAGTACAAAAGATGTTAAAGTGGGTAAAATAATATATTTTTAAAAAAATTATACTTTTTATCATAAATAATCAATTCTTTCTATAAATTTTTTAACACATAATTTATTGTTGATAAAAATTTGGGGGCCTAAGGCAAAAGCCTTATTTCTCCAAGCATAGAGCCGGCCCTGATGCACGTCTAGATACTCACCTCACCTTCATTATTATAGTTGAACACTCAAACTTACAAAATGATCACCTATACACCTTCAAAAATTTATGTACCATGTCAGGTCAGTTATCGAGGTCGAGGACTGGGAGACACTGAAAAATACCTTTGTTTGTTTTTGGAGATTATGAAGCTTAGTTATAATTCTGGTGCAGCATGTTTCATCTACTATATGTTTGCATGTTTTACTATGATGGATTATTGAATTGTCAATTGTTATTCCTGACAAGGTTAACTAAGTTGTGGTTCAGGAATACTTCCATGTTACATATTACATCTAATCCATAGTTTATCGGACTCTCTGAAAATTATTGTTGCATTCATTTCAGATCCTCGAATAATGCACTACTTTTAGAAGATCTGATAACATAACTCCGAACATTTGAATGGGAGCACATTTTGAACTTTGAACTAATGATGATCCTTCCAAAATAAGCAATGAGCTTATCGCCAAATGTCTCTTTTATTACGAAGATCGTCTGATCGTAATTATTTATTCTCAGAAGCCTTTAAGCATATTCCTTTTTGGGTATTTCTGTTACATATCATTTGTCAAAAGTCTACTTTTGACAGTGATTTTTGCTTGATTAGTTGGGAAAAACCTGAGCCCAAGGGTTGGTGTTTTATTGCTGGGTTTGATATTGACAATTTTGCGCGGACAGACGCTTTGTCAGTTCATTTTTCTTTATATAATTTCAATTCAATCAAATTGTAGGATTCGTTTAACTTAATAAATAGAGTTGAAGTTACAGTTAAAGTCGCTTATATTGATTGAAATAACTTAAGTTTTCTATAATTTGTCGAAATTTGTGGACTATGTATTAGTAACAAAATAGGAGAAAGAAGATGGTAAATTATGACATGCTCGATATACAGATAATTATTCATTATATATAAATTCCCTCTCAATTCTTCTTGTTGCTCCCTATAGAAAAGTGTAAACAATCATATCATTCCTACAAAGAGAACAAATTAATACAAATGATCCAAGAAATTTAAAGGAAAATCACAAAATCAAGAAAAACATATAGAACCAATTAGGGTTTTGTAATGTTTTTATTTGAGTCCAGAGTATATTATAAATATTTTTTTACCTTTCAAAGTAAGGATGAGGTTTGTAGACAATCTTTTGTAAAATTATAGTGTATATGTTGTTATTATATATAAATCAATAATTATATTATAGTGCTTTTATTTGAGATGGGGGTTCGTTGAAAATAATTTTTCTACCTTTTAAGGTTTGGATTTTGCTCAATATTTTTGTTTTATATGGAACCGATAAAAAAAGAAAAAAATATATAAATACATAATTAAAGATATTATTATTAAAATTCTCTACTATTTGATAAACATTACAAAAATCTCCTCTCGTATACATTGCAATCCTCTCTCACATACATCCCTATTCCCTTCCGGATACATTCCTATCTCTTTTCGAATACATTCCTATTCCCTTTGGATACATCCCTATCCTCTCTCGGATACATTCATGAGCTATGTAACTGCAGATTTTCTGATATATTTGAGATCTTTTATAATTTGAAAAGGATTAGAACTAGCTCTTAACTTTACGTTTTTTTAAAAAAAAAAAGTGAAAATAAAAGAAGGAAAACGTCATAGTGGTAGGTGGAATAAAAGGTTTGTGTGAAAATGGCCTTTACTTTTGAGTTGGACACTTGGACTAAAGGTTCATGCATTTGAAAAGTGATTATAATTTAAGCTTTATTATATAGTTTGAAATATATTATAAAATTGATATTATAAAGTATGACGAGCCAAACCACGCCTCAAAGTATCATCATAATTTATAAATTATCACATTATTGCCTACTTTAATTGCTAGTATAATATTTTTGCCATTAATTAAACAATTGTTCTTTTAACTATTGCGTTATATTCTCTTTTTGAGTTTACTTCGTATTAGAAAGAATATTTTTGTTTCTAATGGAAAGTCTACTTGTCCAAGACGACACTTGTTCATCCTTTTTATTTTTTTATTTAGTTTTATATATACTTATATATAAGAAAATATGAAAAAGGAGAAATATATATGAGTCGAATAAAAAGTCAAAAGCTAACATGGCAAAAACAAAGATTCTCCTTAATTAATTATCTTTTAGTACTGTTCTATTTTTATTTTATTTTTAAAAAACAAAACGGTTTGTAAACGATAGAATTGGTGTTAAATGGACAAATTGAGCTAAATTTGAACAAGTTAACATAAGTCAAATTAATAAAGAACAACTTTCACATATAGCAAACACAAAATTCATATTTGTATGCTATAACAAAGTTTGCATAATTGCGCTCCATAGCAAACATAAATATGCATATTTCGCTATACATATACAAAAGAAAGCAGTTGTATAATCTACTTTGGTATACATATACAAAAAGATCAATTGTATAAAGTGAGAGAGGCGAGTGAGCGAGCGAGATCTAGGAGAGTGGCGAGCGAGATCTGGGAGAGGGGAACGAAAATATATGTATATATACAATTTTCACGCATTTTATACATTTGCGTTTTTGTATAAAGTGAGAGAGGCGAGTGAGCGA